GAGTCAAAGGAATCAACAATACTAGGAATATGTCCGTGTGGACTAGTTAACTAAAGATCACAATTGTGTGAACTACTATTTCCGTGATATTTAGCAATCTAAATGTCTAATATGGAATTGAAACGTGACGGTTCTGATATTAAAGAGACGCGTGTTCAGAGCCAAAAGATTTGACTCAAGAAACATTTACTCCAGAGGCTCTCAAAGAAAAGTTTATCTTTATCTTATCGATGCAACTACATAACCGCTTACACGAAAAATGTACGTTTAGGAGAAAACATAACAAGAAAATTGAAAAGTTCAAAGTGGCTTGCAAAAAATAAAAATCAAGTTTTTTTTTTTAAAAAGGCAGTAAAAACAAACATCAACGTGCGATAACAAAGGATGCCATACATTCAATGCAGCGACGAAGCGGGCATTGGCGAAAATTGATCAGAGTTAAGAAGTGGGAAGGAAAATGTAGTCATTTTGATTCATTGATCTCCGCGCAGTCTGGGGGGCTTTACAGAGAAATAATAACTAGCCACACAAGGGGGAAATACCGGCACATAAAGGGACGAAATCTGTCGCAGTGGGCGGTGGGGTGGAATCTTCAGGCGGACACTTAGAATGGAATCAAAACCCAAATTAATGACAGACTGATGAAATCCAAAAGCAAAGGAAGAAAAAAAAAATTCCGTAATTTTTAAAATCTTGCAAGTAAAGGACATGGAACTGATGTGAAGACGCATTGTAGGTCCAATAGCGGCTTGTAACCGCCAGAGGCGCGGCATTTGTTATCGGACATCACAAACTGCCTGATGAGAAACATCCAGATTTCCTGGGCGGAGACATACGAACAAAGATAATATCAACATTACCGTCACTGAATGGGGATTTTGATAAGAAAATGGACGGATCGAAGAGCTCAGCCTAGAAAGGTATAGATAAGAAAAATTAGCGGATTGAAGAGATCAACCTAGAAAGGTATAGATAAGCAAAATTAGCGAATTGGAGAGCAAAATTAGCGGATTGAAAAGTTATCCAGAAATGTATAGATAAGCAAATTAGCTAATTGAAGAACTCATCCTAGAAAAATATAGATATGCATCGTTAGTGGAATGCAGAGCTAAACCTTACAAAGATAAGATAAGCAAACAGAATGCATAAAATCGACACCAAGATTTGTTTAGATAGTTTAGCAGACCAAAGAGCTCAACTTATATGTTTTACAGGGAAAGTGTGGTCAGCACTATGCCCAGCTGCCTTTCTCTGTGTGGACCCTGGTAGGTTCTACAGACTTGAACCCAAATTCAGAATCAAGACTTTTTGGTTAACAGTCTAGCGCTCTACCGCTAGGCAATGCCATCCCAATAACGTGTCGCACATTCATTAAATATTGAACCCTTCACTGTGAGGCTAAAACACTTCAAATACTTGACTCTGATAATAAAGGACATATGTTTAAGACAGTTATATAAAAGAAAGCATTAAGAATATAACCACGGAGTTGGTACAAAGTTTAGATTGTTAAAAATTGTTAAATAATATTAATAAACAAAACACAAAGCAGCATACGCTTGTTTGAAAATGAATTGAATGCAAGTAGTTAAAGAACAAAACAAAAACAACAGCAGCCAGCTGATTGCCAACCCAGCTTTCAAAGTTAAAACAAGGTGTTCTTTTACCCGTTCAACACTAGGGTTAAAAACTGAAACGGAAATTATCAGCTTAGACAGTTTACAATCAACTGAAATGTTGGGGGTGCCGTTGAGAAACCGAAAGGATTGTTCATTTTATAACACGACAAAAGATTAACGTGTTTTCAGTCAACCTTTTAAGGAAATGAGTTCCAGAGCTCAATACATTTTTTAGTCTGGACTATAACTTAAAATTATACCGGTGGACTTTGCAATCAATACTTCATTAAAATAAAATAAACATAAAAAGTATGAAATGGAACCGCCATTGAATGAGAACAAAACTGTGATTTAACAGAAGTTTCCACACACTACCTTACAGATAACCAGCTACAGTAGAAAAAGTTTAAGACATAAGGGCTTGATTGTTACAATGATAATGGTCATAAAAGGTTTATTATTTATTTATTATAGGCATTTAGGTTTGTGATTTCTACTTTAAAAAGATGACATCATATGATGATTAAAAATGGTATATATATACAGTACAAATCAAACAAAAGCTTTTCCCAAGATAAAAAAAATAAATAAATCCGATACTGTAAGATATTTTCGTACTTGGGAAATCTGCACTAAACTCTTCTGTTTAAAACAACTTAAACCTTACTTTAAATAGAAATGTAACATATATATTTAATAAACATATAGGACTGTCCGCAGAGCTGCACATGCATGAAATGTCAAGAGTTTTTTAAATACAGCGGGAAAAGGTAATTATATTACTGGTACAAACTTTGCCTTAAATTCATTATTCAAGACATTTTAAAAACACAGGTTACAACTTTTCTAAATGATTTAATTTTGAGTATTATATTGTTCTATTAAAGTGTCATTAACATTTGCTGACTAAGTTGATTTTTCTGAAAACTGAACTTTCTTTAAGCAAATAAAAAAATGTATGAGAAAAAGTTGTTAAGTAATAAATATCATAAACTAGAATTTAAAAGATATATTTAGATAGTTAAATGGAAGCAGAAAAACTTTTTTTTTAAATGTTGAAAAGGGAAATAAGTAGATAATATAATGAAATAATGAAAAATTAGAAATAAATAATCAACAAAACTGGCTTACAAGATTAATTATCTTAATATTTATAAACTTTAAAGGTTCATTTTAAAATTTTCTAAAATTAAAGATTTTTATTTGAAAAATTAATGATCTGGTCCTACATAAAGACAGCACGAGTGAAATGCCTTGAAGCAAAGTTGTTGAAAAGTTAAGACTTGAAAATATGAAGCATTCCGCTGAGAACAATTGGCTGGAAAAGTGGTTCAAAATTTATATAATCATTCTAAAATTTAAAAAGATGCATTTAGAAAATATGACAAGCGGTAAAATTAGGGTTATATTTTCATAAATTAAAGTTATGGAACCGGCAATATTTCATATGCTGATAAGATGTTAAAAAATAATTTAAGATTTTTTTTTTTATGTCCTGCACCTATTATACTGAGTCAACTTGATTAAAGTCACAACAATTGTTTTACATGATAAAATAAACATAGCGTACAGGGTGACAAAAGAAACAAAATGTCGAATGGTAGACTGTTTATATTAATAAAAACATCTTTAGGCTTTAATAAGTTAATATAAAATGTAATGAATGACTAAAAAGAAAAGGATGACTTTAAGTCATAAATGACTTTTACTGTCATGATCAGAGAAGCCTACCAATTTTATGACTTTAAAAAAATATTAAAATTTGAGCTTAATTTTATATTTAAAAAAAAAAATTTCCTTTGGTTATTTAAATTTTAAGAATATTGGACCTAGGCCTAATTATACAGCACTTGAATTCCGAGGAGCGGGTCATTTACAGTGAACTTTGATGTAGTTTTGAACACTTAAATTTTTTATTGTTATAGATTTTAAGTAGCAGCACTGCTGCAAATGTATTTCAAATTCAGTTGGCCTAAATCTGATGTTCCAATTTTTCTTGATAATCTCAAATAGCTATTGTTTATGCTATAGACTACTCAAACACGTCAGTATTTTTCTCATACCAATAAGATAACATGTGGGTTGTGGTGTTCAAATTTTACATAGGCCCTATAGTACCAATACATTTTTTTTAATAAGATAGATTTAGATTTAATTTTAAAGAAAGGTGAAGAAACATCGCTAGTAAATGATCTACTTGTTGTATTAAATTTGTCTTCTTGCACATCTAAAACAAAACAATCAAGAAATTTTAAAAAATATCTTGCCAATTGTGTCTCGTCGCTATTTGCTTGTAATTCCGAACACATGTTTTGCACTTTATTGCCTTATCATTTTGACTCTTTACTTCAATGGGCCTTTAGGTCCAAATATAGGTCCCATTTCATATTTGCTATCAACACTAGAATTTTTAATAGCCTACCTAATAGAATTTTTAAAGGCCATTGTGCTGCTCTCAATATTGTTTCAGCTATTTTACATTTTTTAGTCTTTTTCCCTAAATATATTTAAATAATTTAAAGGGGCCTAAACTTAAAAACTACATTAAATTTGATTAAATCTAGTAACTCAATACTAGTTTAGTGATAGTGTTTAGTTTAGTAAGAAGTAGCTACAACAAACTAAAGCTAAAATTTATCGGTAATCTATCGTTTTGGGTACGTAAAATCGCCCGCGGCTATTAATGTACGAAAAAGTTACCTCATTGTCAAGGCTTTAGGAGAAGTATATTGTGATATATTTGTGTCAAATATTATAGATAAATGAATAATAAACCTAAATCAATGGCTAAATATATCAATATATGCCAGAAATTAACTTTAAACAGCAGTGTTTGCAAGCAAGATTTGCTATATAAACAGCAGCCATTTGTAAAATAGAGTGACTTCCGCCTGTCTCGCGCTATATCCGCTATAAAAAAAAACTTAAACAAGATGGCTGCTATAGTAAATGAGCATGGTTGCATCTGTTGGAAACATCGCTAGTCTTCATTTATTACTGAAAAGTTTTAATTCAATTGTTTAAAAACAGGTACATAAATGAATCAAGGAAACATTTTTGTATTTTTCAAAACATAAATCCTCCTCAAAATGTGAAATAATTATTAAAATTTAAGGAGTCACCTGTTTTTCACATTACTAGTCGCGGGCGATTTTACGTACCCAAAACGATAGATTACCATTTATCTTAGAGGCCTACCTAGTAGGCCTACCTATCAATAGTAAAAATTATCCAAGTTTAGTTAAATTGTAAGGCCTAGTTAGATCAGATCTAGATCTAATCTAGATTCTAGATCTAGAGTCTAGACTAGAGTCTAGACTAGACTAGAGAGAGACTAGAAGTCTAGACTAGAGTTGTTTTTTTAGAATTTTTTTTACTCACACACACAGATGATGGTGATGCGCATCAATAATTTCATTGATCAAGTTGACTCAGCTAGATCTATTCTCTCTGAGAGTAAATATAGTCTAGACCTTTCTAGATCTTTATTCTGGATCAATAATTACAGTAGATCTATAACTAAAAATCAACTAAACACTTCAATACTACAAAATTTCCAGAAGAATAACTACCGGAAGTTTAATACCACGAAGAATACAGGAAACCGAAAGTTCAGTATCAGAAGTCTACTTCCGGGTTAAACTAGTATAAATGATCTTAACATTTATTCGCATTTTAAAAGCTTAATAATGGTAGCTACAAAATGGCATAGACATTAGACAAAGACGAGATCGATGACTACTATAGTCTATTTGAAACAAATTCTTGTTCAAAACGAGTATTTTAAAATCCTATGACACGAATTATAATAAGCAACGTAGGCTTAGCTGGCAGAAAATAGAAATTAGCTGGCATATTCTACCCGGTGTTTTTAAAATGGCTAATGTATATTCGAGCGTGTTGTTTGTGAACAAATATAATTTAAAATTATCTTATTCTTAAGCACTAATATGTATTGATGCATCTATAAACGACGAGCCACACCTTAAGGATAGGTAGTTTTTCAAGAAAAATAATAATAGTGGCATTTTTTATTAGAGGGCACTGTTTCTTCCAGACTTTTTTCACCCGGGGGGGGGGGGGGGCACATAAAATTTTCGGGGGGGGGGGGGGGGCGTACACTGTTAAAAGTATATATTTTCTACATAAATTTCATTTCGTTCGGGGGGGGGGGGGGGGGTTCGGACAATGTTTTCAGTAGGAGTGGGGGGGGGGAATCTGGATATTTTAGACGACGTGCGACGATATGGGGAGTGGAGAGTATAGTCGGAGATTGCAGGCATCTCATCATTACATGACGTCACATACCAATTAACTGGTCCATCGTCTGTGTTTTCAACTGATGATGTATGTTCACCTTTACGTTATGTTTTTTTCCTGTTTAAGAGGAGCGATAGCTAGCCCTAACCTTAACATACCCTCCTGTATTTGCAGTTATTGGCTTCTCAAACCTGGTATACAGTCTGAGTATGTTGAATACGTTAATTCAACTAAACTACAAGACACATAGGGCAGGTGAAGCAGAGGTCAGCTGTTTCAATGAATCCCCCCCCCCTCCCTGTCATACTGACGGATAGTGTGGTCAGAGCAATTCCAAGCCGTCTTAGTGTCAAGTCCGGTATCCGTCAGTACTAGGAGAACTCAGGTGAGCCTGCAGACTAGAGCTCGGGATCCGAACTCGGGACTTTCGATTTAGCAGTCGTGAGCTCTATCACCCCACCACCCCGCTCCAAACAATAATTAACGGCATATTTAAAAAAAAAAGTCTTTTAAAACCGAAAGGCTAAAAAAGCAATCTCCAACAATCATCTAAAAAATGTGATTCCTATTTTAAAAATGCGCACTATTAAACGTGTTTGATTCGAAAAACCCCAAAATAAATATTTTTCATTATCGTGTAGTAAATTTATGATGCGCTGTTTCCGGAAGAATGGTAGCTTCCCTTAGCTAGAATGTAAACAATAAAAAAGCAAGGAGTAAAGAACACATCTGTCTGTAGTCGTAAAGGGATAAAAGGATACCATTTAGAAACGCGTGAGAATTACTATGAGTTAAGCCACCGCCTAGGGCCAGAAAAACAGAAGTAATTATTACCAGACTAAATACTACAATACATGTATAACAAACAAGGCCGGACTCATACCCAAAAAGAATTCCATAAAAACTAGGTAGGGTTATCCTAGTGTAAACAGTGGCTATGCTAGTACATTGTACTGCAATCTTAACCTAGCCATAGTACTCACACTGGTATACAGTATTAATCTAATATAAATCCTAACCCTGATTTTATGCCATATTATTCTTGTAACACGTTGTGGTTTATTCTTTGGCGAGTTTCCGGCCTTGTTTTTGATATATAAGCTGAAGGGTAATCCATAAATAACGTCACGCTTTTTTGACGATTTTTACCCCCCCCCCCCTTTCCCATCGGTCACACATCGTCACAAAAAGCCAGACCCCCCCCCCTAAAATGACGTCACACCTCAGTCTACACCCCCCCCCCCCCTTAAAATTGCAGTTGAATTTTTCTCAAAAAATGATATTTTCCCAAAACTTTCTCTGAACTCTGTCAACATAGAGTATTTTAAATTATTAAAAGTTTTCTAAAACGCAAAATGACGGCTAAAATTCGTTTTCTAACATTGCTTTTTTATAATGCAAAAGTGTGACGTCACACCATCTGAACACCCCCCCCCCTCCCCCTCATCAGACACCGTCACAAAATTACAATCCCACCTCCCCCATACGAGTGTGACGTCATGTATGGACTACCGTTAAGGGGGCGTCCATAAACAACTTCAAACTCCTGAGGTCAGGGAGGGAGTTTTGTGACGAAGTGTGAAGTGTGACGACGGTGAGATGCGGGGGAAGTTTCAGAAAGTGTGACGACACACTTTTGGAGTTTATAAAATAATGTTAGAAAACGAATATTTACCGTTATTACTTTAAAACATTAATACCATACTTAATGTAGTCTGAACGCAGTACATATTTTAAAAATAAATCGCTGTTAATATTTTTTTTGTAGCAATTGTGAGGAGGGGAAGGTTGTGGTAGGGGTCATTATGACCGTATGGAGGGTGAGGTATATAAAAATGGGTAATAAATCGTGACGTTATTTTATGGACAACCCCAACTACATACACATTATACTATCTCTATACTTGTGTTTGATTTATTTTTAGTACTATACGCTAAATAGAGAAAGGTATAGGGAAAAAGGGTGGGATGGAAGAGAATTCATCTATTTTTAATCATGCTTGACCAGAGTGTTACTTTCAGGCATCTATTCGGGGGGGGGGGGGGTAATGACACTGTCCTGAGCAGAATGTCTGAAAGAAACCCTCTGGTCAACAACGAGAGTTGGACTTAAAGATTCGTACATCTTGGACGTTTTGTAGACTACATGACAACAATCATTTCGCTTTGGGTTGACGTGCATAGACTAGAGAGCCAGGGTCAGGGCTAGTGGTACCAGTTGCTATCAGGTTTAAAGGTCGTCAGTAAATGACGTAATAGACTGGACAAAATGTCATGGTTATGACTTGAGTGATGATAGGCAACTGGAGGGTTGAGGGGTTTAAAGAAATGTGATTGTGATTCTGAAATTTAAAGATTGTTTTGAAAACGGTTCTGTGGTGGGTTGGTGCTGGTGGATTAGATCTTATAAACGTTGTTTTTAGGGGTAGGCGGTAGCGGCGTGGCACGGGGGTGGGGGGGGGGTTGACAAGAAATAGCGTGACATCATTTATAGACGACCTCTACACAAATTTTGTACGGGCGGGACTATTGCCCAGATTGTATTTCCTTGTTTTTACTTCCTTTTTTTTTTGTTAATTTAAATAATTGGGAATTCATTAAACCGAGACTTTATTTTTTTTTAAATTTTAGAATAACATATTGTAAATTTTACTGTGTACAACCCTCAAGAATTTTTTTTTACTGTAAACCTGTGTAAATTTTATTTGATTCATAACCAGAAAGATTTATATTAGAGTTAAGAAGTTTAGATTATTTTATTATATTTTTTACTATAAGATTAAAGAAGAGTGTATATTTTATTAACCATAAAATGTAAGAAGAACTAGTATTTTATATATTGTAACGATAGGAAAAATTGACATCATATTTAATGTAAGATATTGGCTTTAATGTGGGCCTCTATAGGGCTGGTAAGTAGGTCACCAACCAGTTCTACGGCTCAATAAAAACTGCATGAGCGATAAAACTGGTTGGTGACCTACTTACCAGCCCTATTTACCCGTAAGACTAACGAAGCATGCGTTTGTACCTTTGTCACCAACCAGTTCTACGGCTCAATAAAAACTGCATGAGCCATAGAACTGGCTGGTGACCTACTTACCAGCCCTATTTACCCGTAAGACTAACGAAGCATGCGTTTGTACCTTTGCCAGAGTCCGATGAGATTTTCTGGTTAAGCATGGGCCGTCGGGTGGAAAATTTGCAGGAGAACTTCGAACTGCAGTGATGTCATCTGAGACCGAAGAGGAGCCGATCAAGCCGGCTATAAAGAACAAAAGTAAGTGTAAGGTTTTGTTGGGCGTCGAATCCAGTGGTTCTTTCAGACATTTTTCTTAGAGGGGGAGGGGGGGGGGGGAATTTGCAACTTTAGATGATTTAGTTGTTTTTTTTTTAAATTTCGTTCGGGTGTGGGAGGGTGGACATACTCCAGTTGGGGTGGGGTGGGGGGGGGAGAAGCAGAGGCGTGGCGACCCTTCCCGGCGCCCGGGGACAAACTTTCAATTTGCCCCCCCCCCCCCAATATTTTTACATTATATTTATAATGCAAAACTGCAGCTAGAATTAGATTTTAATTTTTTTCCAATTATTTTGGCGCCACCCTAGGGTCGGCGCCCGGGGACATATGTACCCCCCCCCTTCTCTCCTCAAGAAGCGCCTAACAGAAACTCTAGTCAAATCGGATTTCAGGCTTTCTTAAAGGGGATCGGCGTGGTCGAGTCGGTACAACTCATGGTTGCTATCGAGTCCGAACCCTCGGGCAGATGAGGCTCGTTGGCTGGGGACAGCAACTCTGCTAAAATCAAACAACTGCTGCCTTGTAGTTTGTTCTTGGTTGGACTAAGGCTATGGAAGCAAATAAAATAAAATACTTAAAAAAAACTTTTTAAAAAACCACGTTTTTCTTGTGGACTAAAAAGTAGAAAATAACTATTTACATACATTTGATGACAAAAAACGTGGGTACGTTCACCATCAAATTTCCCGACCCATCTGCCCGACCCACGTTTTTTGTCATCAAATGTATGTAAATAGTTATTTTCTACTTTTTAGTCCACAAGAAAAACGTGGTTTTTTAAAAAGTTTTTTTTAAGTATTTTATTTTCTCCTTTTTAGTCCGTTGCTACACATGAAAAACGTGGTTTTTAAAAAAGTTTTTTATATAGTTTATTTTCTACTTTATCTAATGACTTGATTAAGTATGAATTGACTAAGTGTTTATAAATACACGGACTAAAAAAATCTTGAGCGACCAGGATTCGAACCTGGGTTGTCGCGGCCACAACGCGAAGTACTAACCACTATACGATCACGGC